TTTTCCGGGGTATCATAAGTGTCGAACCAGGTTTAATCCAAGCAAATAAAGATTCAAATAAATATTGTGTTTAACTTCCTTAGTCTCAATAGACTAGTGTTTTCTACATTTGGGCGGGAGCATCTCCTGAGATACCCTAGACTCGCACATATTTTGCATAATTCGCACACGATTCAACACACGCTGTACTAGACACGAAATAGGAATGATTACTAATAAATTTAAACTAAGTAGTATACCAAACCAAAGAATATTAAGCACAGATAGGTATCAAATTATTTTCTATTACGGACCACAATTTTACCTGAATTTAAATTCCGAAACCTTAGGTAATAATCTTGTTGCATTGTATGTTAATGACCACCTTTGGATAATCCCATTCAAAAGCAATTGGTCACTTTCTTATATCTATGAACAGACCATACCTGATTCTCTAGGTTTGTGTGCCTGTCGATTAACAACATTTTTCTTATATTTTTGTGTCTTCTACATAGTTCTTCGATTTGTAAACAACAGTCTTTTTTAATAGTATAGATTACATTCGTGGTAGATAAAGGATAAAAGAATACAGATAAATATTTATTCGAATCTTACAATTAAACATTTTTTTTTAATACTTTAAAATGTGGAGACCGTAGAATGAAGCAGATGTTCCCCTGTTAGAAGAAGACATGGTAAACAACGCAGGATTCGAAGACGAAGTGGAGATGGTAATCGAACTTAATGACAATTTAGAAGACGAACTACCTCAGCGAATAAAAAAACAGATCTATGTATTTGCCTTTGGATGCTAAACAAATTGTTTTGAATGGGATGGTCAAGACGAAAGTCAGGGAAGATGTTGGTACTTCGCCAGTTTTTAAAGAGCAAGAGCAAAAGTATCACTAAGTACTGTTATTGTGTTGGATAATGCCTCGTATCATTCAGCCCAAATTAGAAAAATAATCATTCTTCAAATAAAGAAGAAATTAAAGAATTTCTGTACGAAAATGATTGATACTTTGAAGTGAGCTAAACGAAAAACAACTTCTGGAATTATTAAAAATAAAACAAAAACAAACATGAAATCTTGAGGTTACCGCCGTATCATTGTACCGATTGAGTTCATTTAGTCTGAGTTCAAAGCGCACCAAAATTTAGTGATGGTACCATAATCGTAATTTTGCTAAAGCTGGTCTAACTGAGAAAATATTTATCGAGAATGATTACTGGTGGGGTTGATCATTGAACTAGGTGACAACAGTAGCGATATTGCCTGATACTGACCAAGAATTGCTCTGCGAAAAAGATTCAAAACATACTTATATCCCGCTTGTTAATGTAGGTAGATAAATTTCTAGGACGGCACGGGTAAGGATCTGCTTGACAGGTTGTTCTATAAGGGGCTGCAGTTTTGGAGTAATAAACAGTAAACGGAGTTAATCAGGAAGTCGGTGGTAAAAGCACTATATTTCTGGTCCAAGTCTACTAGAATTGATTGCCTATAGGTAAAGTGATAAAAATGTAGGTAGACAAATCAATTTTATACTGGTTAATCTTACTCAAAACCTAACATAGTGATCTAATGATTTATTTTCTCCAACAAGACGAGGTTCAGTTCAGACACGTATCACTGACCTGTTCTTCCACCTAACCTAAAAACTTAAAGCCTAAGAAATGCAGAGGGCAGATGTGACAATTATGAAATGATCATACAGGGAGGAACAATAACCGTTAGACAATATCGTTTATTTGATCGATTTTTATAATTAACTAGCGAACACTATTTTTCAAAAAGATATAGAAAAAGTGGTTTATTAGTTTTTGATGAAATTGTTTTATTTAATTTACTTGGTGATTGAAAATTTGATTGGTACATAAGAAAATGACCGTTTGTAATGCTGTCTAGTGGAGGGGTGGGGCGTGAGTGTCCCCTTATACCTAATATTGATAGTGTGCACGTCACTTATGAATTTTATTTTTTCATATAAGTATGGATGAGAGTAATTCACTAAAATCTTAGAAAATAAGCAATCAGAGCTCATATATCTTCGATTTTGCATGTTTAGGTTAGGTTTTCTTACACCGATTATTAGGCTCAAAAAGCACGGAGACATAACAGAAAAACCTGTGTAATGTAAAACTGCGGTTACTAAAGAATGATTGAGGGTACGAAAAGCTTTCGAATATTCCAAAAGTTTACCTTCATCCAGAGCTTTAAAAATACCGTCCGTAATTTTCGAAAGGGCGGTGCTGCAACTGTCTCCAGCTTTTAAACCCAAGGATAATAGAGTTGTTATACAAATACCTTTAAAGCTATGAGTTAATTACTTTTTTCTATTCCCGTCTGTAAAATGCCTAATTACACACCGAACTAGCTTGTGGGAAGCGTCACTTTACCACTTCAGTTTTGTTTCCCACGGATCTGAGTCACTTCGGATATTTCCGGGATTTTACCGCACGGGTTTGGGAGCAATCGGATGTTTTCGGATATATTTCCCTCACCTTCAGGATGTTTAATCTTCAAACAAAACAATTTGTGGTGGTGGTATTTGCCAATTGCAGGTCTGATGATGCCGTTTATGAGCGGAACATGTAACTTTTTGTTTATTTCACAAAGTTAAATAATCAGACTTTTGACTAACTTTAATCGAAAACCTAAACTTTTATTGGTCTATGATTTGGCGATTACAGAGGCGAAACATAGAATCTGCTGTTTTCCGTGGCGTTGAATCATCGGACCTTTGACTTATCTTACATAAAAACGTACAATTTTAATGTTGTAATGATTTATTTGAGATTTGATATTTTTATTTGGCTATTACAGATCTGACGGTGTAGTTTATGTTTATGTTTTTCAGGGCATCCAATCATCAGATCATTTTAAGGCAATCCTATTTTGCGTTTTTATTTGCCAATTACAAGTCTGATGGTGCCGATTACAAAGGCGAAACGCCGAGTCTGCTGTTTTCCATGGGGTATAATTACTAACCTTAAATTTTAATGTTCTAATGATTTATTTGATGTTTTTATTTGATGGTGTCCTTTGTAGGCTGTTTTTTATCTAGTAATTATCAATGTATGATCAATATTGTAACGTCACTGTGTAAAAATAAACTTCAATTGTAAGTGGTGGTTTGTTGCGTAAGCCTCAGATAAACGGGCACAAAGGCGTCGAATCACCACTCACTTTGAATAAAATCCTAACATTTTAATTGTCTGATGAGAGTTATTAGTTATTTCTCGTTTTTATTTGCCAATTGCCAACCTTAAATTTTTAACCTCAAAATTTTAATGATCTAATCATTTACTTAAAATTTGTTCGTCAATTACAGGTCTGATTAAAATTATTAATGTAAATGTAAATTTTTAGTTTTCCGTTTTTCGAGTAAATTAGATTTAACAATTTCGAACTCTTAGACTATGATAATTGTATTATGTGCCGTATTATTCGTTTTTGATGGCGGCCGCGAATAACTATTAATGATAAAAGCAGGTTTCGATTTTTATTCTGTAAGCACATATTGGCAATTTCAAATTGGGTGTCCATTAACAAACAACAAAGCTCTATGTCGAAGTCTTGTATGTAACATTGTAAAACGTCTTAACCGTCATCAACCCTTAAGATGGTGGGGTGTAAAATTATAACTGTCTATATGCTTCGTTCTGAACTTGAGAAGCGTAAAAAGGCTGCCGTCCATGTTTTATTCGCGGAACAATTCGGTATATCGAACATATTCATCGTCACAGTTACCCACAATCCTACAAAGACCACGATAACGATTATTGTTTGTTGTTCGCAACTGGCAACGGAAAGCGAGAGACCCATTAACTCGGCCGGCAACATCTGTTCCGAAAAACGAACGCAAAAGTAGACGAGAGCGAAACCAGCGTGCCCGTTATGAATTTTTTAAAGATTTCTTCTTCTGTTTCTATCCGCCTGCGATACGATTTATCTTCAAACGGTATTAATTCGGTCCGTTTAATCGGGAGAAAGTCCCCTTTCCTCGTCGTATTTTTATTTATCACGAATTTATGTACGTATCTGCTATACGCAGAAAGTTACGTACCAATTTCCTAACCGCGTTATCTGGTCACCTACATCTTAAATGGAAATTGTATTTTATCCATCGACCATAACGTATGAGCACCGTGCTCAAGTGCCTCGCAGGTCCAACGGTTTTTCTCAGCCATCAGTTACATCTTTTGCCATTCAATACGAGCTCTTTGGATTCATCCGCATAGTTCCCAGACAGTTAGTTCACCCGTACGTTATAATATCTAAACATAGATAAGTTCTGTAGAGCTCCTACGGTCTTAACCCTCACACACAGGTTCCTTTTCAAATGACGCATACGTCATGACTCTTCCCAGATTTGAATCCACATGTCTGGTTCAGCTAAATAACAGGCTTTTTGCCCACGAGTTTGCCAGATTCAAGATTTATTCAAGATCAATCAACAAAACTATAATGTTTTATCTATGTTCGTTTCTTTGATTGGACTCCAAACTTTCGATGATGGTTTGGTTACGTCCGCCAGATGGAAACGCCCTCTCGATATGCATTCACGTTGCGTGAGTATCTGTTTTCTCGTCTTCTTCACTGTCATTAGACTTACGGCCTTTGTTTTGTAGCTTAGCAAGTCTGCTGAAATTTTCAGGGATTCTCTTTCCATCACACGAAAAGCTGCTTTCGCGGCTGCAATTTTTGAAGATCTTGGGGAACTGTTTTCTCATGAGAACGATTGTTCTTTCCCTGTTGCTGGACTAGAAGGGATGTATGTTCCAAAGTTAACCTCAAGAATTGTAGACCTTTAGTTTCTATCTCTGAAAGTTGCTAACATTGATTAGGAAAAATGTACGGACACTACTGTAAAATGTGTCAGAGCTCATTGCTTTAGCATATTCCAGCTGTAGTACTAATAGTACAGACTCTTGTTTGCGGTTAAGGTAAATCTGTATTCATAGTCGTTGCTAGAATAGACAAAAGATGAATTATGTTTTTCTTCCGTTTGTTTCAGCAGACAAACTCAACGAATATATCAGCCACTACCAGCCGCTTAACTATGACACCGGTGACGTCCATTCCGCCCACGTGCGCGCCAAACGATCGGTGGTCGAAGACAATCACGTGCACGTGTCATTCAGGGCGCACGGTCGTGATTTTCGATTGCGGTTGAAGCGCGACCTCCATGTGTTCAGCGATTCGTTGGAGGTTCACGGACCGAACGGACCGATAGATGTCGACACCTCCCACGTCTATAAAGGACATCTTGTCGGTACGTATTGGCGAAAAAATGGTATTCTACTTAATATTTATGTTGATATTTCTTGTTGCAATTGCTTGCAACTTCTTAGCAGCTTTACAACCGCGTGCAACACGAATTATGGATACCTCCTACTACATTTATTTGGCCCTTAATTTTGGTGGTTTGGCGGCAGAATGCAAAAATGTTATTTGAATTATCGGTCTCAGTAATGGACCCAATTAAAATTACATATACAATTTTAAGGAGATGTTTGATCTCTTTCGCTATTTTCCACAAACTACCCACACACGTTTGCTTACTGTCAGCAGCGTCTTCTTATTTCTTCTTCCTCTTCTATTTTCTCGATTTATCTTTTTATTTAAGATGGTGTCCCTCTTACCTCGATAGTAGGCAATGCCAGGTTAGGATCGATGGTGTGTGTCTCTACATGGCACATCTTGCGCCACATTTTTTTCACTATTATCGAATTTTGCTTTTGGCAGACGATGTTAAAATCTACAATACGGAGAAGGCAGAATGGTTACGAAATAATCCTCGCCACGCTTACTTCCTATCACCAGCCGCTTCGGTATTTCTTCTTTTTCTTCCTTGCTTCTATGTCCTACGAGTCAGCTAAAGACACTCTCCCACTGTATGGGTGTTTGAGGCACTTATGTGTACACAATTTGGTCAGAAATATAACTGCAATTTATCAATTATCATAGGTATTGTGTACCTATCTAAGATGTCTGTATAGAAATAAAGTCTTTGAGTAGTATTGGTTAGTTTCTATGATTCTGATGTTGAGTTCAGTAAAGTTTGCTCTTTTTCTTCTTCCTCCATCGTTTTTACTACGTTCTATTCGTCCGCTAAGGACATTTGCGCAAAGTATTGATATTTGAGACAGGGAAGTGTATAACGTGGCCATAAATTCGAAAAAAATTATCATAACTGACCTAAGATGGTGTCGCGTCTACCTCAATGTTAGGCAATAGCCTGATACAACAAACAAAGATATGACAGAACGCCGGGGATTGTATTGAAAAATAATAAAAAATTGTTAACAGGAAATTTTGGCGCTGCCCTCGTAGAATGTCCCTAAAACGGCATCCGTCGAAGTTCGTTTCTTATCGTCGCGAATGGGTCTTATTGCACGGGCGAACAAATACAATTTGTCGGGATTGGATGTTTTTCGTGGAACCTCGCAACCGTGAGGTATTAAATTCGCGTTCAAACGCCGTAACACAAATATCAGAAATCCGAATTCGTTATTGCTCCCCCCCCCCGCCGCGATGTTAACTTTTTTTTTGCCTGCCCCGTTATTGGATATACGACGTCGCATTGTTTATTTTTCTTATCTTCCATATGGATATATCATTTTGTGGAATTGGTATATCAATAAAAGATGACGAAGTGGCTTCGTGAGTAACAGTTGTTGGCATTTGAGGTTGTGAGGGGCACGTGGGTTTTATTAGATGTAATGTTAATTATCTCAGTGCGGCTTACATGTTACTTGGGAAGCCATGTTGTTAAATACCTTTTCTAGTTTTCTTCGCAGCAGGAATTTTTTAAATAAGTGCTTTCTTAGTTAAGCTCCGTTCAGATCTTGAAAAATTCGTCTTATTATTATTATGTGACGCATTCTGATGTGAAGACTGGGTAAGGTCTACCCTTATTGTCCGACCCTTATAGTCCGACGCGATCATGGCTATAATAATGGTATTACATTTTTATGGACTTCCTTACGAATCCACTAAACACCTGATGCAAGGGTGACCTTGCTGTCCTCTCAATAGAAGCTACCGCGACATCTGACATTTTTCGAAGACCTGCGTGCAAATGTTATTATTGCAGGAACGGTCTAGTAAACGTTGACTGATGTCTTTTTCCAATATCTGCAATTATCTGGTTATAAAGATTAAAATAGAAGTATATAAATTTTACCTCCATATTCTCTTGCTGCAGATATCCAAATGACACTTTCTTTTTGGTTGGTTACTCCATTGCGTTTCTTCAACCGATAAAAAGTACAAAAAAAATGTCTTAATTTTGATTATAATTTATAATTTTTATATCAATTGTCAATATCAATTAACCACCATTTAGCGCTGAGAACGGATTATTCCTCATACTTCTTCCGAAAGTGAAATTATTTTTCTTTAATTAACTAAATGTTAGCAAAATACGCGACCTTTTACAACTTACGAAAATGTTATTCCTATTAAAAAGGAAAATAAATGTTTTTTTAATGATTGTTTTAAATTATACCCCATCTTTTTGAAAAATTTCAGCGTTATTTCAGGTGGCGAGGCCCTAGTTAAATGTAACTAGATTCGAATTGCGATGCCCAGCGGTGTCCTGATTTAGGTTTCTGGTGGAACGCATTTGTCCAAGAAAAACAAGCTTCCAATTTTAAACTTTTGTTTTCTTCCTCAAATAACAAAATATAGAACTTTTTTGGAGGTATTTCGTAAAATTTTTTGAAAACCCGATAAATCAATGCAGAAGTCGAGACTTTTCAATTAAAATGATCCAAGTATATTGGTTTATTTTGAACATCCTGTAGCCTTCTTATTCAAATTCTGTTGCATGTATCTTTTACGTCATATTCAAATAACGGTAATATCAAATTTTTAAAAATGATGGCGCTGTCGTAATTTTTTTTTGCAAATGTGTAAACAAGTATTTTTTTTAGAAAATTTGAAATATTGGAAACACTATTAGTAATTCAAAACGAAATTTAAAAACAGCAGTGCATCCTAACAATCTTTCCAACTTTTTTTTTTTCTATTTTCTCATATCTTTTGAAACCAATGAGATAATGATCTTTAGTCTATAGTTGACTCACCCTGTACAGGTGTCGATCGGTTATTTATTTTCTAAAACTAAATAGATAAACAACTAAATTAAAGAAAAAAGAATTTCGTATTTCGATACTTGGGTTAGAATCCAGATTGAATATACATACATACGGACCGGATGTCTATTTTTTTCTTTCTTTAAACAGGTGAACGGGACAGTACGGTATTCGGCTCGATCATCGACGGGGTGTTCGAAGGGAAAATCGTGTCCCCCCGCGGATCGTATTACGTCGAGAAGGCCCATCACTATTTTCCCCTCGACCGTTACCCCAACAGGACCTTCCATTCGTTGATTTACCACGAGGATCACGTGCGCGATCCCTACGAAGGTCAAAGGCAAGGTAAAACGCGTTTTACTCCCCGAACCCGATGAGATATTGGGCGTGACATCATTTTTTTTTTCATTTCGGGTGACATTTGGCGAGGGATAATGCCCAAGAAATTTTTACATGATGAAATTGAAAGTGAATTGCAAAGTGGTGACGATGAATTTTTTATTGACACGCTTGAAAATGATAGATTGGATAGTGATAATATTAGTGAAGAAAGTGACTCTATTGATATTATAGTTATTAAAAGACGGACAACCAAATCATCAAGTTCAAGTAGCTTTGAAGAAAAAGAGAATATAACACAACCTGGTAATTCTGGTCCATGGCAGGAAGTCATGTGCCACGATCAGGTACCAGACAGGATTCTATTTACTTCTGGGGATAAAATGGTAGGACTACAAATTCCTGATACTTGTACAAAACCCGTAGATTTTTTCGAGCTCTTTTTCACCGATGAACTAATAATAAAAATAGTTTAACGAACAAATAACTACGCTAGACATAAAATAGCGTAGAAGAGGTTGTCAAAACGTTCTACATGGCACACGTGCGATTCTACAGTATAAGAATTTACCGCATTTATTGTGGTTGTCCTAAATATGGGTAGAATAACTTTATCTAATATCCGAGAGTATTGGTCACAAGAGTTTAACGTAAAAATACCTGTTTTCAGTAGCATATTTAGAAGAGAATGATTAGGGCTCGAACTCAAAGTCAGTAACTACTTAGATTATTTGGACAAGCAATTCATAGAACATTTTGTTCCATCAAGAGAGATATCGGTAGACGAATCTGTTGTTGGAATTAAGGGTAAAATTGATTTTTTGACTTACAATGCTAACAAGCGTACGAAATGGGGGATACGAATTTATGTAATGGCAGATACTAACACCGGATATGTTTATTCAATTTTGCCGTACTACGTGTACTATTGTGTTACATCTGTGTCAACAATGATTAGACAATAACCCAGGATGTAGAGGATATCAGGATAGATACTAAACGAGCTTGCCATTTGCAGAAGAATGGTTAAAACTCAATGTTGTTGACAAGCACTATTCAAATCAAACCAATGGCACATCTGAAATTTGTTCCGGAATTGGTTGACGAGATGACAAAAAACTTTCGGCAGGAATCCCAAATTTTGAAACTAGATATATTTGTGACACTTGCACCCGTAAGCATTGGTGACTGCTCCGAACTTTACTAGACTACAATATTTTTTTTTTTTTGTGTTTCTGTATCCTCAAGATTTACTATTTTTGTCAGCCATTACTTTTTATTTAGTGTTTTCAAGGTTTTTTTTTTATTTAGTTATTTTTGATGTTATAATCGTAATAAATTATAAAAGATAAAAAAAAACAAAGTCCCATAGTTTTCATTAAGCGTTTTTTTTAATTAAAAAATTCCAATATAAAAAATCCGAGTAGACAGATAAGTAGATAAAATAATTGTTCCGAGCACAGTGCAAACAAAATACTCCCTTAAGCTGGAGGCACAACGAGTAACTGTTTTTTTGTTGCTTTCTATAAAAAAAGGGTGGTTCCTGCATGATATTTTTTCTTCTCTGCCCCCATCCGCATTTAATTTACGCAAGAAATATAAATTTTAGCGATGTTTCCAGTCCACTGTTTCTTTCAAGAGCGTCGACAGGTGTTGCGGTTATTCTCTAGATAGCAAATTTCGTCGGCAGCGCTGCCAACTTAAATGGACTCAAAACGTATTTGCGGAAATTTTCCAGAAAATGAGGGATATTCTTGTACTGGGTGGTCGTAGTTCGAGTGTTTTAACAGGAAAAACCTATTTTTCAACTCTATAGAGCAAAATCGACTTACATGTCGAGGGCTCATCAATATAACCTTTTGAAAATTACCCATTGCTTTTTTGTTTATGAAATTTTTGGTCTTAAAAAAATGCCCGTATCGAGACCTTTTCAGCCATCTGGATGTGTTAAACAAGATGGAGAACATAAATTGCAATGATAGATTTCCGTAGTTCAATCACGAATATTTAGACTTTGAGATTATTATTAGCTGCTAAGAGTTTATTTATTTGTGGGTTTATTTTAAACACTGTGGGAAATTGGATCTGATTTTTAATTTAGATCGTGGTATAACTGATATTACTTATATCATTTATTTATGTTTTAATAGGAACCTTTCCTTTAATTATCAATTTTTGATAATATAGCATATATACTTAAACAGTCGATGCGTTTATGGTATATTTATGTCTTTTTATACGATGTTCTAAATATTAGCTTGCGATTTCAATATATTTTTATGAATTTAAACGAAGTAATGAATATACAAAATTTTATTTCTTTTTAACTATAATTTTACTTTTTATTGGAGTAAACATTTATTTTATCGATTTGTAAGATTCGCATTCCAACAACAAACTTTGACTTCCCTGTGCCTTAGAGAGGTCCGCCTGCCAGTCTTGGCACTCTCGACAATCATTATAGGAAGAATACTACGCCTATGGAATACGGGCTTTTACATTTAAATAATGATTTGTATATAGTGTTGGGACTGGTTAATTGCCTAGTCAAAAAATGTTTTTAATAACATCTTGCAATGTAGAGTATTATCTACCATTGTTTAGTAATAATACATATTTTATAATAAATTTCCGTGCGTTTGTGATGTCCAATTTACCTATAACCCTAACCCTCTTCAAGGTATATCGGAATACGATACTTGCGAATCGGAGAATCCCAATTATAATATCCACTTCATTTGGTCCCAAAATCGACGGCGACGCAATGCACGATATAAATAAATATAAATTTCATGGTATTTTTAAAATTATTTCTTTCAATTGACTGGTCAATTTATATAATTTTATTTTTTTATTTTATCTTTCTATTAAAAGTGAGTCCTTTTTTTGTTTCAATTGAATGTTGTTCCGTGATAAAATAAATAAATAAAGCCGGTTATCGGTTAGAACCACTTTTATCCCTTCCACCTTTTAAAACATTCTATCCTTGGGGCGTCGGTTGGGGGGGGGCTATTTTTCGTTCGTAATATGTTCGGGGGGCGGAGGTAAATTACATTTCAATGTTTAACTCGGCCTGTCTGCATGAAACGTAGTAGATTTCTATTGCGGAAAAAAAATGATCTGTATAGGCCTGAATATATCGCTCTATTAACGAATCGGCTCGGAGAAAAGATTTTTTTTCGTAATCGCATTCGCTTTCTATAATTTATTGTTGTTTGCTGAATGATTTTGCCGCGTAAACCGCGTTTTGTCTGGCACGGTAAAAGCGAAATGGCGAACGATATTTTTTTCTGCAATAGAAACTGCAATTACGCAAAATTGCCTATTATCGGGCTTAATGCTCGTCAGTGTTATGACGCACGATAATCGTAATTAATTAATATGTTAAGCAAAATGTTTGCCTCATTTTTAATTGTTATGTCTTTTTTTGCGCTGCAAGGCACGCAGATTAATAACCATTATATCACTTTTTGCGTTTTAATATTTGTATTCGCATATTAAGAACTTATGCTGAAGTTCGCTTCATGAACTTTGTTTTTAATAATGGTGAACCAGAGGGGTGGGGTCACGCGACTTGTCAAAAGTTTTTTTTTTATATATTTTTAATGTTTTTCTTGTATATCTTCCACGCCGTATTTCATAAAATGATGTTTGTGTAAATTGGTTATACAGGGTGTTTAAAAAAAAACGTGGCAATATTTGTGTTAAAGTTTTTTTAAATAATGCTTTTAAATTGAATTTTAATTAATGCAAATATCTTCTCGTGGCTTGACCTCTCTAAATAAAAATTAAACAGTGGCTTAGATCGCTGGGGCTAACTAGAGAAAAGATTTTATTTAACAGTTTTTGTAAATTTTTTGTGTTATTAATATGCAAATTTCATTGGATTGTTAAAAAATATTTGTATGATAAATGCATTAAAAATAGTTTTTATGTTTTATCTCGCAAAGGAAGCAAGATATGAGAAAAATTCAAGAGTTGAAAAAGTGTGGTTTTGGTCTCTCTATCTCGTGGTAGTATCGAAATTAAAATGAAGTCAGTGGCGTATCAATAAATTTTATAAAGTTTGCCCCTTGTCCCTAATGCCACAATATCCAAGTAGCAACAACGCTGATCTCAAACAACACCCCGGGAAAATGTTTACTAATTAAAAAAAAACATTATTAAAAAAAAACTTGGTGTCTTCGTAACAATGCATTTCCCGGCCCACATTTGTGCGAACTTTGTTCATAAAATGATGCGAGGAATCGCCTCTTTTTTTAACACCCTGTATGTTAATTGGTTACTTTATCAAATTATCTTCAAATTCAATATTTTTGGTAGCTTTTCGCTAGTTATCTAAAGAAATAAATCAGTCAATGACAACAAAGGCTATTTATTCGTACCGGTTTTGCGATTGCAAAAAAAAATATACTCGCAATACTGGTCGTATTTTAGCTATTCTTTTAAAATTAACTTTTGACAGGTAACGAAAGCTAGCGAAATTGTTTAAAGTATTTAAAAAAAATGTATAATTGAAAAATGGCATTGTTTAGGGGATCCGAAAAAATATTAGAACATTTTTTGATGCCGATATATTTTTTTTAAATGTACCTGCGAAGACCATACGTTTGTATAGAATATTTTTTGTATTTAAAATTTTTGGCATAATTTTGGCGATTTTAAAATTGTTTTTTATTTTTTTACTCGAAAAGGGGGCATCATTTTGGAAATAATCAAGAGAGCAAATTTGTTCCAAATTGAATTGAAATTTCAAAAATAATGGATATTGATTTTAGAAAAAATAGAGAGTTGATAACCAATGATTTTTGGGCCAGATCGGTCTGCGTGCGTAACCACAACCACATTTTAGGTCTGATTTTCTATTGATAATAATATCTAAGAATTAAAACACGGTACCCCTGCTCTTCTCTCTAGCAATTTCCACATCCGCCAACGACGAAAAATATCCAAGAGTTAGAACTAACTCCGTCGAAATAACTTTTGGTCAATGTAAATAAGACTGTATATAATGTATAATCTATAAAGCAAAAGCCAACTTAGTGCCAGAGAGACGATGTTTATGACCCTGGTTTAGCCCCGCCCCCCTCAGACAATATATAAGCAGGACGCACGAGGAATCCAGAAGTTTTATAAATAGTATTACGACAGTAGCTTATTGAACTTTCTTTGCAAAATTAAATAAATAAATTGTTTTATCGGCATTATAAATTAGAACTTATCCTTCCTATTACCATTATTACTTAATCGCTTTCCTAAAGTTGGATCCTCTGTATATTTTCCGTAGTTGTTTTTAACGCTCGCTTTTGTTTGGCAGGTCATTCTGCCGGATGCGGGATCAACGACGAGATAATCGAGTGGATGGACAAAATCCAAAATTCGGCGGACGCCGAGCCGCCCAGCGTCGCCCGGCGTGGAGAAACGGGCGGCGGCGCCGGGCCGCTTCTCAAGCCGAAAAAACGTAAAAAAACTGCCGCTTCCGCCGCCACTGCCCCGAACGCACCGCCAAAACGCTATACGAACTACGAGGAGAGCTTCAGCAAGTACTCCAAGGAGGCCAACGAAGGCCGCGAGCGTCATAGACGTGCGACGAGGAGGGACGAAAACAGGAATACGTGCTCCCTCTACATCCAGACTGACCCGTTGATTTGGCGTCACATACGGGAGGGGTTCCCCGAGGTAAGAAGGAGAATTTAATTGGAAGCACCTCTATTTGAGACGCTTTTTATAAATCCATAGTGCGCTGCAACACTCGGAATGTACTGAAATACATGAGTAATAAAATGAACCATTTTTATCAATTTACAAAACTTCTGGATTGCCTCGGTTGTTGTTGTTGTTGTTGTATTTTACTCTGTACGTGCTTATATATTGTTTGAAAGGTGGGAAATAAACATCGTTCGGTTCCCATATTGGTGACAAGTAAAGACCTAAGTCGCGGTTAGGATTGTTAGGTTGCTTATAAATTTCTGTAAATTTTCGAATTTTTCGTTGGTAGAAGAATTGATTACATACCTATCAGCTTCTATCCGACTCCTGTGAAAATGTCTGTCACCCCTCTTGACTCTAAAATTCCTCGTCTCTCGCCTAAGAATGGCCAACTAGGATTTTATCCCTTCGATCTATTGTCAGCACCATTGATTCTCCACCATATTCTCTATATCTACCATCTATTTTAAATCCCTTTGCAGGAAAAACTGACAGTTTCGTATATAATTCTTATCACTTCATTGAGCAATTAAAAAGCATTACATTAGATGCACAAGATGTTCTGGTTGCTTTCGATGTTGAATCTCTCTTTACTAAAGTCCTAATTTCTGAAGGTCTCACCATCATTTCAAATATATTAAAATCCGAGAATCTGGAACAAACCTTGTCCATTCTCCATTGTCACCAATCATCCCGAATATATTTATGGAAGCCTTTGAGAAGAAAGCTCTCGGCACCTTTCATCTAAAACCAAAATTATGGAAACGCGATGATATCTTTGTTAGTTTTGGTTAGCCAGTGAACCCAGAATTAAAACACCTTACCTCTGCTCTTCTCTCTAATAATTTTCACATTAAAGATATTAGCGTTCCATCACAAAATATACTTCACCACACCCTTCCAATAGCAATGAGTCCTAAAGCAATCCCACACTTGCCAGTGTTGTCCTTCCGTCATCACTTAGAGATTGATGAACAACCACGTGGCAGTACCAAGTTTGCTCATTTGTCACCACCCCTCCATTAATAGTTAGTTATTACTTGCAAGTAATTGAACAACGATTTTTCTCTCTTTTTATCGAATACAATTTTATGTCCGGTTTCCTGACTGTGTTCGGCAACAGCTGATGAGTTTATTTGTCTTAGTCGTAAGGCTCTTTCGTGTTCTTTGAGCCTAGTTGATATTTTTCGTCCGGTCTGTCCAATGTATTCTTTGCCGCATATGCATGGAATGCTGTAAACTCCTGGCATCTCAAATGGAATTTCGTCTTTGACGAAGATGTTGAGAGATTTTTGGACAAGTGGTAAATCTGATTTTGACGTTATACTTCTTTAGAACTTTTGATATGTGGTCAGTGAAGTTTTGAATGTAAGGAAGGACCACAGTGGCAAGTATAGGATTGCTTTCTGCCTCATTGCTATTGGAAGATTGTGGTGAAGTGTATTTTTTGATGGAACGCTTAATATGTGGAAATTATTAGACAGAAGGTGTTTTAATTCTGTTTTCAGTGACTCGGGCTGTGATAGTTTTACGACTCTGTAAACAAGAGAGTTGATAATCGATGATTTTTGGGCCTGATGGTGATGTGACGATGCATTAAGGTATCGGTCTGTGTGCATAGGTTTTCTGTAACCACAATGACCCAATGTTAGGTCTGATTTTCTATTAATAAGAATATCTAAGAATGGAAGGTTATTATTAGTTTCCTACTCAATGGTAAAACGTCAGCAATTTCGACTCAGCAAAAACCGACTCAGGAGGAATCCAGAAGTTTTGTAAAAAGTATGGCAAAGAATATTTTATTTAGTTATTTAGTTAGTAGGAGCCAAGAAATCTTGCGCTCTGACTTTTTTCTAAGGATGTTCCAGAGAAACTAAAGGATAAGTCTAATGTACTGTCGAGTAAATCCAGTCACAACTGTTTTCTCTAAATTTATGATTAGATGTTTTTACTTGCAAAATTTATTTATTAAACTGTTCAACAGCAGCAGAGACATTATTTGTCAGGTCCTAATATCTTCACTCGCTTAGTATAGTAATCACTTGAATAATCTAAAAAAACAACGTAATAACTAAAAAGTTGTTGCATGAAATAGCGAGATTATATGCTGTAACTAGCGCCCTCTATATATTATTTGAGAAATCAAACCAAGAACGAAGAACAGATGTCCAAATCAAAGAAAAAAAAACGAATTTGATTGATGAGTAAGTTAGTTCAATTTTAAAAACTTATCGTCAAAAGAGCTTTATGAAAATAGTAGACAAAATAGACAAATTTTCAATTAAAAAACCTTTTCCTGTATCTCGCGATCCGTATCGCGGTTTCAAAATCGAAATCGTTAAATGTCTAGCCAGAGGCTCATGAAATATTGCAACAAAAAAAATATATTAATTTTGCACAATTGTCGCAACCAGTCGTTATAAATTGCCGCGGTTTAAATCATTAAAACCGAAACGGGTTGACACGGATTCGGCGCAACAAAGACCTTCGCATATTTGCAAATATAAATTAACGATTTAAGTTTAATAGATTTAAGTTTAATAATAATTGTCCGGTCGGATTTTGACGCAACGCTGCGGCGAAGGCATTTTAATTAAATTAATTATTTTCGCGGTTTCAATGCAAAGAGACAGTGCGTAATGGCCTTCGTCATTACGACGGACAAACATTTTATCGTCATTGCAGGTGAAAAATCTTCTTCTTCGAATTAGTTCACCCTCCAAATGTTTTCGCAGTCGGGCCAGCTCGATTTTTGGCGTGGACTCAAAGTTCATGTTTCTTTTATTGTATAATTTTATATAATGATATAATCGTATAATTTTTGGTCCAAATATGTCAGTTTGTAGTGGTAGAGTATTTCTTCTTCTTCTTCTTCTTCTCTGGAACCACAACTCATCGTGAGTCTTGGCCGTGTTTACGATCTCTCTCCAATAGTGTTGCCCAAATGCAAGACCAAGACAAGACTTAGCCAGTCTTGGTTTTGCTCTTGTGCCAATACACCTGGTGTTGGTCTTGGTATTGTACTGCCAGTCTTGGTCTTGCAGCAAGAGTCTCGCAATTACTATTTAATACGTTTCATATGCTAAGACATGGCAACATTAACTTAGCTGTGTTTTAAAGAACATTATTAGTCTAGAAATATATTGGTTGACCCTTATATGAAATGGAATAAAAGAGTTGTACTATTTACCATTTATTGAAATAAAAAATATAATATAAATTAAATTACAAAACAGTACACAACACTTTTGACATTAGTAGTACCATGAATTAATGCAACGTACCCATCTGGCTGACTCATCACTTAACCTATTCCTATGTTTTCTAATTATTAATGATACGTTAGACAATAATCTCTCAGCAGGTATTGAAAGAAAATCACGGGCCATCTGTCTCATGTGTCCCCCCCCACTCTAAAATGTCTTCCGAGCTGGCGGCTCTAGGTTTACTTAGGTACTCTTCCAATTTGTTTATAACTAAGCGTTGAAGATAAGATCCAGATCCAGATGACGTCGAGGGACACGCATACGGTTTCTCAAAGTCTATTACGTCGTCAGCTTCATCATATTCCCGTACTGTCTTTTAATTTTTCGGTGATTCTAGAGATTTATTCACTGAATTTAAAGTTTTGTATTCTTCATAAAGTACATTAAATTTGCGCAGGCTTTCTGTTTTAATTTGCTTCCCCCGTACTGGCATGTCAAAAGTATGAGCCTTGGGTCTAAAATTAATGAGGTACAATATATCCAGTTGCTCTTCTTATAACGTTTAAGTATTTTGTCGCGAGCTGCTTGGAAACTCAGAATGAGCCTTTGCAAAATGGCAAGAACAAGACCAAGACTGCAAGACCAAGACCAATTTTGGACAACAATACTCTCCAATATTGTCCTATCCCCATTTTCTGAAGGTCTCCAGCCATTGCATCCTTCCACCTTTTACGGGGGCGTCCTCCTGACCTTTTCTTAGGCGGCTAGACTTTATACACCTTCGTACAATTCCTCTAATTCTTCATTGTACCTGCATCTCCATTTATTAGTGTTTATATTTCTATACGGACCGTATACATTTCGTAGTATTTTCCGTTCATCGCACCAACAATTTATTTATTTCTCTTTGACTCAGGCTTCACTGCCATATGTAACTACTTATAGAATTAATGACTTATGTAAGTTTACTTTTGTTTTTGCAGAGATGAGTTTAGAGTTAAATAGGTGTTGTACCACATAAAAGGCTCTGCTCCCTTCTAGGATCCTTGCTGCTGAGTCCATGTCTACTTTGTTGTCATCTGTTATAACCGCTCCTATGTATTTGAATTCTTTATCGACTTCGAAATTGTGATCGTTGATATTAATGTTTTGTCTAATTCTTTGACACTAACATATATTTAACATATATTATTTTTATTCGTCTTGCTATTATATCAGTGACAAAGGCAGGTTATACCCAACACTAAATTGAACTTAAAGCGCAAGGAGGAGAGTGGTTCACATTTTAAAGTACTACCACACTATAAATTCTTCAACGAATGTTCTCAATGGGCGTGTGGCCGTAGTGACTTCGCCCCACTAGGTGTTTGAAAAGCGGGATAAAAGGAAGAAAACGTTCCGATCATTCAAGTGGCAAAATTGGATTCTGTGGTGGAGCATTGCACGCGACGGTTTAACCTCCGTTTGCTCCCGACAGAATCCCTTGTATTCGTCCCAAAAAGTTTGATATCGGTTTCCACGGTGTGGATTTGGTGTTTTGAGTGTTTAGTGTATGTTTCAAAGTGATAATCGTCGTCGGCCCCGTCGTTTTTCCCTGTTCACGCCGGTATAGAGGCCGGATGGGCCCGGATGGTCCGTGGTGGAAGCGGGGGGAAGCCGATTTTTTTTGGTATCGGTCAGAATCGTTTTTTGCTAGCTGAGCAAATTATTGGTTATTTTTCTTCTTTGTACATGGTGGTCATAGACCAGAAACGAAAATCCTCGACGGAAGTCGGCAATGGGCGAATGATCCTAGCAGTCGTGCCCAACATTTTTTGTGATACGAATAATTGAATTGAATTGAATTGAAGTGGCAAAATTCGTAAATAAATCTATCTAAACAAGACAACTAAGACAAATTTCTACACACTGACCTTGTTTCCCAATACGGGAAGTTTTATTGTACTAGCAATTAACAAGTTTATACAGAAAAAATTGCCAACAAATTGCTTTAGTCTGCTAAATTTAATTATCAACAACGTTTAATTTTGTATCAAAAATAACATTTAGGTCCTTGGTGTATCCAAAATGTTCTAACAAAATGTCATACACGTAATTGTGCCATTATGCTGATATATTTTGTTGATTTTACAATACACGACACACTTCGATTAAATCGATTTCAGTAAATTTCTTAAAGTCATCTGCGAAAATTAAGTGATTAGGATCAGTAAACTCAGATAAATGATCAATAAATACTTTAAAGAGCAGAATTAAATCAGTTTGTTAAGCTGATTGCTAAAACTGATTTTGTCGAAAATTCTGTCACGATCTATTTATTCAAAAGGGTCCAATTAGGGCATTTGAGCTACTTAACCGGGACGTGCCCCCATCGACCCGTCTGATTTTTCATTTTTCTAGCATACGGACCCGAGAAAAAGGTCCGAGGTCAACGAGAAGACGCGGGAGGAGATCCTGTCGCTTATTGCTCATCACGTCACTGCCGTTAACTACATTTACCGCGACACTAAGTTCGACGGTTTAAGCGAGCATCGAAATATCAAATTCGAAGTGCAACGGATAAAGGTGAGGAGATATTCCTTTTAATCACGGTATTATAAAGTTAGCGTCTCACGTTAGTGACCTCGACTTATCTTAGGTTCGCATTATTTTTGCCGTACCGTAGTTTCAAGTATGCCGGATGTTGCTACTATCTTTTATTAACCACATGTCTTGTTGAGCCGCCTCATGCAAATCCTCAATGATTCTAGATTATGCCATGAATATAAACATTTGAATAGAATTTACAAGAATCAAGTTAAATCCGCTAAAACCGCCCCTTATGGCGACTACATTGCAAATTCCAGCAACTTAAGCAAAAGTTGTTGGAAACTAATAAATGAAAACAACAAAAATCTTAAAAAGTGCTGCCTTACATTCATAGTAAACAGAATTCTGGAGAAGGGCATTTTTCCCGACCAACTAAAAATTGCCAAAATTGTGCCTATCCATAAAAATGCGATCCAAATAATTACGAAATCTACGACGCTTGCCCTTGTGGACTTTCTCGAGGAGATGGCACTTGGTCTGGATGGCACTGAGGTGGTAAGAGCCACATCGTTTGACTTGAATAAGGCTTTTGACTGTATTGATCACAATATATTGTATCGGAAGTTGGAGTGGTATGGTGTGAAGGGCACTCCGTTCGAATTTCTTAAGTCTTACCTGAACAATAAATCTCAGTTGGTCGAAATCAACGGAACTACGAGTGACGAACTTGCCGCCAGATATGGTGTTCCGCAAGGCTCTATCCTAGGCACCTTACTTTTCGTCATATACATTTATGATCTCCCCTTAAACATCCTCCATCATGTTACGATCTACGCAGACGATACTGCCCTCCTTATAAGGGGAAAGAATCCCATTCATCTGGCGAATGGTTCACCTGCAACAATCTTGTTCTTAATCACAGCAAAACTCAGCGTATGACCTTCTCAGGCAGTAGAGTCAGTCATCTGAAACAAGTTCCAATTAATCTATTGGGCGTCACATTGGATAGATCGTTGACATCGCCTGCTGAGGCATCTTAAATCCAGCCTAAGCTTTCTGAATGCAAAATAAAGCTATACGCACAATTCACGGATCAACACCTCTGGCACATTTTCGCACTATTTTCGAGAGGCTAAAAATCATGACACTTCCTAGTCATGACACATGCACACAACACCAGACAGGCAGACCTCATCGTACCATTTCCAGACTGACGACCTCGTCAAAGAATAAGCCTCGCACCGACTTGTACAATTTCCTTCCTCAACATATCAACCAAAAAATGACTAAATACATATTTCTATTGTTTGATCTACCACAACCACATTACCAACACTTTGAGCTGAAAATTCCCGGCGTACATTCGACCTACCGCTTCGTAGATAATCGAGGCCGCACTGTACTTTCAGATCGACGACGACTCATCGTGCCGATGTTCGGACCATCGCTGCGGCGAAATGAACCAGTTTTGTTTGGAAAACATCGACGTCAGCAATTTCTTAAACATCCACTCGTTGGGCAACCACGAAGATTTTTGTTTGGCCTACGTGTTCACGTATCGGGACTTCACTGGCGGCACACTGGGCCTCGCGTGGGTCGCGAGCCCTTCCGGCGCATCCGGCGGCATATGCGAAAAATATAAGACTTACACAGAGACGATAGGGGGCATGTACCAGTCGACGAAGAGGTCACTGAACACCGGTATCATCACGTTCGTCAACTACAACAGTCGGGTGCCTCCCAAAGTGTCTCAGCTGACTTTGGCCCACGAGATCGGCCATAATTTTGGGTCGCCGGTAAGTTGACACCCCCTGCGTCTTTCGAACTGGTGAAAATTTATTAGAAGGGACCAAGAGAAAGAGAAAGACAACAGTAGTGGCGGCCCTTCTTGCCATGTTCGTATTACCACTCTTGAAAACTTGCACTTTGTAAATATTTTATTTATGCCTAATCCTAATTAGACAACATTTTTTTTTTCGTTTTCGACAAATTTACGCCTAATCCACAAACAAAATGTTTAAAAATATTGAAAATAATTTCCGCATGAAATTTTTTTAATCGCTGTCCAACAATTTTTTTACGACAAACTTACAAAAAAATTACTTCTAATCTATAAAGAAAATATTTAGAAAGTGCAAGTTTTAAGGGTCCTAATCGAAATTTCTATGTGAAGTTGGCAATGTCAAGAATTTTTTACAAATTACAAATTTTTACAAATTTGAATCTACAAACTTTTTCTTTTCCTGCAAATTTACGACAAAAACAACAACTAATTCGTGCATAAATCGTTGTTATAGTGGCAGGGCTGACTTCCTACACATTTTTGTGTTTATATTTTAGCAAGTTATTTGTTTTATTTATTTATTTATGCTCCTGCACCTTACACAATCTTCTTCTTCCACCACCCAAATGTAGTCTTATCAAGGCCTCATCTAGCCGAAGACTGTCTTTATCTCTCTCAGCGTCGAAAAAAAAAATTTTTTTGTGTTCCCGTTTTCCGTTCTCTGTCCCTGGACATTTTCGACAATAACTTCGGACCGGTTTCAGCTATACTGTCCAAATTTTGCTCCTTTTTAAAGATCGATGGGCACAAGATCTGTGAAAATGGTCGCGGTCAAACATCGGCGGCCATTTTTTTTTTCAATTTTCGGCTCGTTTGTGAACATTGCAATGAAACACAAACCGTTTACGCTACCGGAAAAATTCTTAAACGGGAAGACGCAGAAGATTCGACTCTGTATACTTATATTCTGGACAATTTTTAAAAAATGTACAGGGTGCGCCGCAAATTAAAAAAAAACTGGAAAATGGGTCCGCTAATTATTGAAAAGTGGCTATAACTAAAAGGCCATGTTTGTTATATCAGTTTCTTTTACATGGCGATATAGCCCGCATAAACAGCTAAAACTTTTGTATTTAAAGTTTTTACCTGTTGTACAAGGTGTTCAAGATATTAAATCCTATATTCAAAAATTAACAGGTGTGTTAAATTTGCAGCTGCCGACTTCAAATTTGGCAGAAGGGTAGATGTCCACACCCGCATTTCATCTGTTGAAAAATGACTTATTCAAATCTCGCAAAGCATTTTTTTTGAAATTTTTGAAAAATTTTTCTGGTATATTTTGACTTCCAGAAAAAAATAGTTTCTCGAAAGCTATTAACTCGATCGAGAAAAAATTTGTGAACCAGAAAACGCGGGAAATCCGAGACCATAACTTCTATATCAGACAGACAAAAATCTAAAAGACCATGAAAAATTTCTTTTCGCCATTAAATTGAAAAATATGGGTAATTGGTTTAAACAGTGTTATAGGCCACATCGAGAGCTGCAATATTTGTAATTACGGTTTTCGTCTATCACATACGCTGCTCGAGATATTTGAAAAAATCCATACCAAATTTGCAATATCTCTCACTCAATCTACACGATGACGTCGTTTGCTATTACCCCTCACTGCATGGTTTCAGAGAATTAAGTATATTCTTGAAAAGCATTTACTCTATTGAAAAAAATCATATACCAGGAAACGTAGGAGATCCAGGGCTATAACCTCTATTTCGGACATTGTTTGAATTATATACAGGGTGTGTCATTTATTCGCAAAAAAATCTAAAACATCCTAAAATGTCTGTCCTTGTGGGTAAATTATTGGGGATAAATAAAAAACTGTTAAAGATGCGATAATTTGATTTGAACAGTAAACTGGGTCGAGAGAGAGTTTCAGGTTTCGTCAATTTTACAGGCTTAGGCCGTAGTGCATGTTTTGGGACTAGAGCCAGAATTTAATCTACTTCTCCATCAATTCTTCTAGCACGACTATCCGCCGGAGTGCCGGCCCGGCGGTCTGAACGGCAACTTCATCATGTTCGCGTCAGCCACTAGCGGAGATAGGCCGAACAACAGCCGTTTCTCGAGCTGCTCGGTCGGTAACATCAGCAAAGTGCTGGACGCGATCGAGGACAACAAGAAACGGAACTGTTTCACCGCTTCTGCAGGCGCGTTCTGCGGCAACAAAATCGTTGAAGCGGGCGAAGAGTGCGACTGCGGCTATGATGACCACGAGTGCAAAGAGAAGTGCTGCTACCCGAGGCTTATCAGCGCCGAGGACAGGGCCCGGAACCCGGCGGCGGTCGGTTGTCGAAGGAAACAGGGCACCGAATGCAGGTACGATGCATTAGAACTACCGCACAGCCGCCTCAAGTTATTTGAACTACTGTCGTAAACATATCGTTGATTTATTACGCTAAGACGTGGCAAATAACTTTTCCTGCTGCGTAAAACTGCATCACGACGCACCTAGTCAAATGTGGTGGAAAAATGTAATAATAACAACCTGTAGTGAACCGTAGCTCCAACAAAAAATGCTGCCAAGATTCTCTAGGTGGAATTTGTTACCTATATCACAAGAAAATCAAAAATAGGACACACGTCCAATTCATGTCATTTCATTGTCATTCTGTACAGAAAAAGTGAAAACTAACTTTTTATTTTTCTACACTATAGAGATTGTCGAAATTTATTTCCCACTAAGGAAAGGCCCCCAACAGATTTTTCGAGTAACTCACATCAACAAAATATTCATCGTAAACCATACCTAGTTTCAAAAGAGAGAGGGAGCAATAAAATGTAAATTTGCAATGTGCAGGTTATGAATTGAATCACTCCTAAATTAGGGTTACACTAATTTGCCAGGTTACTAAGTGCTAATGGGGTTTGCCTGAAATTACCTACGACACTTACGGCTTCAGTTCATTTGAACTACTGCACTACCAAATCCGCCGTCCACCGGTTGTTCCAAGCGAATGTTTTCATTTCAGTCCGAGTCAAGGTCCGTGTTGCAGCAGCGAGACGTGCAAGTTTATACCGGTCCGGTACGGGGAGGTGTGCAAGATCGAGTCCGAATGTTCGATGTCGTCCAAGTGCAACGGCAGGTCGGCCGAGTGCCCGCAGCCACAACCCAGACCGGACAAAACCAGATGCAACAACGGCACTCAGCTGTGCATCAAGGTAAATTTCTACGGGACGTTCGAACTATTTCCTAATCACTCGAACGACCACAGGGGGAGTGTACCGGCTCGATATGCCTGGAGTGGAACCTCCAGCCGTGCTCCATCACCAGCCAGGAGCACCCGAACCTCGACAAGCGGAGACTGTGCGAGCTGGCGTGCCAGAACGGCACCGACATATGCCGAAGTACCAGCGAGTTTGCGGACAAAGTGGGACTGCCCAAGGGTGGCATTAGCTTACGACCCGGGTCCCCTTGTGACAATTTCCAGGTAATTTACCCGAGGCGCCACCATTTGGAAGTGTGGATAACGGTGTTTTTGTTTAGGGCTACTGCGACGTGTTCCTCAAGTGCCGCGCTGTGGACGCCGACGGCCCTCTCGTGAGGCTGATGAATCTCTTACTCAACCGACAGACCCTGCACACGGTCGCCCAATGGATCACCGAATATTGGTGGGCGGTCATGCTCATGGGCATCGGGTTTGTTATTTTCATGGGGCTGTTCATCAAGTGCTGCGCGGTGCACACGCCCTCGTCGAACCCGAAGAAACCGCCCGCGAGGCGTATCAGCGAAACGCTGCGCAGACCGATGAACACGCTGCGCAGGATGGTGAGTGACGCGTTACCGCGTTATTGTTATTGATTATTTTGAACTCCTGTCTCGACATTTGGAAAACGATGGAATAATTTCAGATACTCTAACCCCTCGAAAAAGTTATACACGCTGAAAGGTGTGCCGTTGATATTTCCGATTAAATGTTGCTGCGCATGGCGATGGGCTCGCTGCGCGTGTTAATGACCGATAGACAAGTTATTTTTGTTATTTGGGTGACCAGGATGAAAGCTGCATGAAATTCAAAGAATATTCCTTGTTTAGGGTTAAGGTCATTTGAACTATTGCCTCGGTAAAATGAAAAATATTCACGTCATAAGTTAATCCGTGTGATGTATATTAAAATCTTTATTGTTAATAACTTTTATAAAAATGGAAATGTAAAACATTCATAGAGAAATATATTATTTCGTATTTTTCTTGCCGATTAGTTCATTTGACCTCCCGTGCCGTTAATATTCCTGATTAAATAATGCGGCGCATAGCGATGGAGCCGCTGCGCGTGTGAGTGGCCAATAGACAGGTTATTTTTGTTATTTAGGTGACTGCATGGAATTCAAAGAATATTCGTTGTTTATAGTTGAGGTCATTTGAACTATCGCCTCGGTAAAATGAAAAATAGTCAATGTTAAAATCTTTAATGTTAATAACTTTTATAAAAATGGGAATGTAAAATATCCACAGAGAAATATGTTATTTCGTAATTTACCTACAGATTAATTCATTTGAACTACCGTGCCGTTAATATTCCCGATTAAATGAGTGTTTGAGTGACCGATAGACAAGTTATTTTTGTTATTCGGGTGACCAGGATGAAAGCTGCATGGAATTCAAAGAATATTCGTTGTTTATAGTTGAGGTCATTTGAACTATCTCCTCGGTAAAATGAAAAATGGTCCCGTCCTCAATTAATGAATCCGTGTGATGTATGTTAAAATCTTTAATGTTAATAACTTTTATAAAAATGTACATGTAAAATATGCACAGAGAAATCTGTTATTTCGTAATTTAACAAAATAAATAAGAACTAAAAGTGCAGATTTTTACGAAATTATCTATTTTGACATGACAATTGTTTCGACAACACCGTGTCTTTATCAAATGTGGAATGAACAGAAACTTTTGTAGCAAATGTTATGCTCTACCAAAGCTATACACGCGTTTTCCCAAAAAAAAGTTCTTCACGTCGAAAAATCAAGTGAAAACCGAAAAAAAAAATTTTCTGTGTTATTTAAATAGGAAAATAAATTTTTAAATAAGCTAAGCCGCTATTGCACTTAAAGCCTTTTACCCGGCGGCATAGTTTTTAATTTTCTATAAAGTATCAGATTTTCAGGTAGCACAGAGGAAAAAAAATGTCGCATAAAAATAAAGCACCCTATTGTACATATTCAATAACTGACTGCAATTAGAGACGTCTTTAGAAGACCAAGACTAAGACACTTTTCTCAACCGAAGTCCAGAATCATTCATGTGGATGAGGATGAATCTGTTGACAAGAAATTTCGGTTTCGAATTTAGACGAGAAATTGAATAGTAGCCTTCTTGGTGCATGGGTATTAGAATTCGATGCGTCTTCTTGGATTGTACATATCCTACCATCACTTCCCCAGTCACTAACACATGAAATGGCACTTTTTAAATGCGGAGGGAATAGGGGAATATATTTGGAAACTGTATATACTTGTGTAAAGTCCATTCCACCGACAAGTGTCGAGACCAAGCATGCGTTTTGTGTTAAATAAGATCAAAATTAGAAGATCACTGGATGTGTTATTGGGTAGGTAGGTATGAGTTATTACAAAATAACGTGTTTCAAAACTTCAAATATTATTTTTAATTATTTTCTCGACGTTTAAAGGCAAACGGAATCATTTTCCTCGAATTCTAGGTAAGGTAGTTCATTTGAACTACTCTAGAACGTCATCCAAACAAGGTTTCGATGGTTTCGTAAATAAAAATATCAACGAGATTTTATCATCGGTGCCCAAAATAATCAGTTTGAACTACCGGTAATTAAATATTGTCCCGCAGAGGTACCACCAGCAACACGGGGCGCCGCACCAGCCAGCTGCGGCGAACGTTCCGGGCGGCAGAGGTAGGACGGACCGGTCAGGCAGACCGTCCGCTAGTCAGGGTGGTCCCAGGGCGGGCTACGGTGAGGGGCGGGGTCACTATCATGCGTCGAAGGGCAAAGGTGAGTTTTTGGATGGTAAAAATCATTTTACTTGGTGAGCGGTCTTTGTCAGGCTATGTTTGGGTTCGCATTTCACGGTTTCGGGTTATTTGAACTACTTGTTTTTTTTAATATGTTATATGACCCTAGAATCAATAAATATGAAATTAAGAATAAGGACCGTAGCGGCAGGAACTTAGACATAAACAAAATTTTTGTTAATAAAAATCTCACAAATACTTGTAAGTATATCTAAATTAGTTACGAAATTATTTCCAATTGTTTCAAAACTTTTCCTTTTCAAACGTATTTCCTAAATTATGCGGGGTATTAGTAATATACCAGTTCGATAACACTAGGCTCCACCTTTATTTACTATTGAAGCATAATGAAAGATCTCAGGTGCTTTGTAACAACTGTCATTTACTCGTAGTTCATCGTTGTAGGCCTTATTTGAAATATTAAAAACATTCTATCCTATTAAGTGGGTTTCCATCATTTAGTTAGACTATGAACGACGCATTCTGTAAGTAGCACAAAAACGAAAATTTCACTTATATTAATCGTATTTTCATATATGACTTGATGAAAGAACTTTTTCTTAGTTGGTATTAAGCTTAAAGTAATCAACAGTAAATAACGGGGTGTCACAGTTATCTTAATTCATAAATAATAATTATAGGGTCCTTGCAGATTTTTTTTTATGAATATACTTCATCAGATTTAAATACTATTCCCCCCCGAAATATTTTTGACATAAGCGAAATTTCGACATAGACATGGACATGTCAGTTGGTGACGTCACGAGGTACGTTTTCATGTTGATAGTTATCGGATATTTTGTCGTGAGTTTTCAGTTATTGTTATTGCCAGGTGGTAAAACTACCACTATTTCCCCTCCGAGAAAAACATTTATTAAAGTTCTTATCTGAGAAAAGGAACGAAAAATAGGGAAAACTATATGGAATGATGGAAGTTCAAAGGGGAATGGAAAAAAATTAAGTTTCTCACATTTTTAGTTGCCAAGAAGGAAGAAAGCGGGCTTGTCCACCACTTAATACCAGTTGTAAAAAGGACAACAGTACAGAGAGAACAGTACTTCAACTCATGAAATGTTACATATTAAAAAAAAATGGATTGCCAATAGTGCAATATTCTGTTAAATATGCAACTTCAATTCAGTTGCCAAGCTTAAAAACATTGATTTATAGTTCCTCGGAATCACCTGCCTTGGACTTTCCACAAAGTCAGCTTCTGAGTACTAGTAATTTAAGCGGTACTGAATTGGACGAAGTTTTACAGAAAGAATCACATAAAGGCACGAATTAATGTTAGATCCCGAAGAAGAAAATCAAACACACATATAGACCAAACAATATCAAATGTACGGCGACAATGCGTTCTGTTTGAAATGAATAAGAAAAACCTACTATTAGTCCAAGAAAGCGAAGATTTTAGGAAGTTATCTGCAGCTTTAATGTAGGTTTCAATGAAGTATGTTATGAAAATGCTGTTTTTGACTATGATCTGCTCGAAATCAAGAGGAAAAAATAATTATTTGTCCCAGTGTTAAATTTATATCTGCATTTTTAAGATAGATTTCGGTACAATTATTATTAGTCTCCACGTACCTCGTGACGTCATAATCAATGGAGTAGAGTTTTTTTTTTCTAGAATTAATTACAGAATAAACATTTTTGTATTTAGAAGGTAATTAAAGAAGCGGTACTGGTGTACGTGTTTATATGTGTGTCCGTCTATTTTTGGTAACCGTTATGCGGGAGCGGAGATTTTCAGCTTTCTAACACACTTCAAGCACATATCCACTTTTCATCACTTCGGTTCACCCCCCAACACACATACACACCTACAAACACCTATACTAACACGGTTTTTCTCTTTCCGACTTAATTAGAATATTCTCCACTAGCCACCGCGCCTCCGCCATCGGCCAACTATGCGAACAACGGCCGGCAACCGGGTGGCCAGCAGCCGTACGCTGGGGCGTACGAGATGAGAAACAAAGTCTGACAGGAGGCGGGCGCGACGCCTCCGCCGGTCGAACCGCCGCCCGCGCTCGCGGTGAGAATCTCGCCACCTCCCGATTACCCGGGCACCCCGATGATCGCCAACGGGGCCGAAACGGTGGCGGATTGCTGCGCGATATCGGTCGACGTGTCGTTCAAGTCGGGGGCGGCAAGTGCAATGTTGGTCGATAAACCGACTAGTGCCGATTAAGGCGAACAACCAAAGCGCAGTTCTGGGTTCTGGTAGGCGTGTGTGACGTCTACGCCTAAAAAGCACCGTTGTGTCGACTGCCCTGTGGTGTTATAGAGATAAGAAATGGTTTCTTATAATTTTTTCTGATAGCTCCAGCAAATGCTCTCTTCCGGCCTTTCGATTTGTTGCCGGTTATCGTTCAACTTCACACGACCTTGATTACGGTCTAGACTTCCATGGTCTAGTGAGACCTCGGATAGTTCAGTTGCAGATGTTAGCTTTGGAATTTCCGCAAGGTCCTGTCAAAAATCCAAACCGTGCGTCGTTTTTGGTTAAGGTCATTTGAACTACTTTGTCGTTTCTCAAAGAATTTCGCAGGTTTTTTTTTACCTGTTTGTTTGGTGATACTTCTTGGACGCTGCGGATTATGACTGCCATAGTTTTGTATTTCAACGAAAGAATTTCGAAGGAATGGTGATGCAGCATCCCGCACTCTCAAGCCTAGCGTATTCTCTAGAAATAAAGATTATTCAGATTATTTCTTAAACTCTACGAGCTACGTCAACAACTCGCATAATCTTATTCCTGCGCGAGCAAGGTACTACGGGCAAGTTGCATCACAGGAGTGCATTCGAGTTGGTTGGTTCATTTTAAATCATCCGGATCTCAAGTTTCGTCTCGTCCATGATGTTTGGTTAAGGTCATTTGAACTACTTTGCCGTTTTGCAAAGCATTTTGCAGGGTTTACTACCTGTTTGTTTGGTGATACGACAGTCTCGCTCTCCCAAGCCCAGCGTATTTTCTAAGAATAAAAATTATGCTTCAGAGCTACTTTTTGAACTCTACGGATTATAAACTTATCGATTTTCAAAGATTTTCGAAATTAATTCAATAAATTAAATTGGTGATGCAGCATCCCGCACTATCAAGCCTAGCGTATTTTCTAGAAATAAAGATTATTATCTTCATGTTACTTCTTAAACTCTACAAGCTACGTGAACTGCCATAATCTTATTCCTACGCAGGAAAAGTCTACGGGAAGTTGCATCACAGGGGTGCGTTCGAGTCGGACATAGATCGGTTTATTTTCAATCATGTGGTATCAAGTTTCATCTCGTTTAGGTCATTTGAACTACTTTGTCGATTATCACATAATTTCTTGTCTATTGAAAAAACGTGATAATTTTGTGATGCAGCTATCCCTCACGCCCTATAAAGTGTTATTTTTCAGAGTTACTTTTCAAAACAAGTATGACATTTTTGATTTCTGCCCCATTTTTTCCTTTTTGGAAGAACTGACGACACATCGGTGTTCTCTATAATGTATTTGGGTAGGCGAACATGCCTACCAGAACGGTGAAGATGTAATTAATATATATATATATAAAAAAATGTTGGCCAACGTGCTCTGTGATTGGCATAACGCGGGAACTTTCTACGCCAAAGTGCGCGTGTGCAGTATAGAACTGAATTTTACAAAAAATCGTGGTTATAAACGGGTGAAATTGTTAGGCAACTTCTTGTGTGAGGGTTTTCGCGCCATGTCCACTCATTCACTACTTATTTACGAACAAATTTCATTTGATATTATTTTTAAAAGTTTTAAGGTTATGTGACGTAAAATTCGTCATGCGGGAAGCGTGCCTGCCTCTCTACAGTCGCACCTACGGTTATTATTTTTTACGTAATCGATATGAACAATTTTTTATGAAGTTTGCGATGTTGAAATATTAGTTAGCTTCCCTTTTGATGACGAAAGGCTGATTTTCCAGTTCGAATTTTTTATCGGAACTTTTTGTCATTTTTATCGTTAGTCGGGGGGAGCCACCACCAGCCCCCTATTTTTTCCATTTGTATCGTTAAAACGTGAATTGTACGCAAGTATGTTTTAGTTATTTTTCGCCAGACCAAAAATATCAAACCGTATTCGATGATATATGATAGTATATTCGGCATCGGACTACGCAGTTCAAAAATTAGAAAGTATAAAATTAATTATTTATTCTACAAATAATCCTCATGTATAACTGTGCAGATCTCATCAATAACGGTTTCCGGTGTGTGAAAAAATGCTATTTTTATATTGGGGTAAGTGTTTAAAATATTTGTCGCCTCTCTCTGTAGGGTCGTTGAATCGTTTTCGTTTGGGAAATGTGATAAAAAAAAATTGGACGGATGATGATTACGTGAATTTTGGATTTAACAAATATTTGTCCTCGATAGAAGTTTAGTATGTCAAATGAATAATATATTTGATGCTACTGTCTGTAATTCATATTGTAAAAAAAATGTATGTACATATTGGAATAATATAGTTGTTTTTATACAAAACGAGTTTTATTTTCGAGCCACGAGCCGGCAAGATACATATATCAATAAGTACAAAGCTAACTTAGGCATTCGCATACATTTAAAATTATAATTAATCGATAATTTGACATTTTGTGGGTATTTCCTCGAATTTGTTTTAAAAACGGTGCAAAATAGTAACGCACGTTAGTCGGCCGCGGAACATTCGAACTACTTTTAAGAGAATCAACAAACTTTTGAAATGCAGCTCATTTATTGGTTAGCACATTTGAACTACTTTGGATTAAAATTTCAGCTCGTCATTCGACCGGAGGCGGTCAAAATTCATCTAAAATGAAGATGGAATAACTAAAATCATTAAAACGATAAAAACAAAAGTCTATAATAATAAAAAACAAAATGTGTCTACAAATTTAAATACAATAACACGATTACCGCTTAATACGATAGCTTGTTTATTACAAATTACGGTTTTTATGAAACTTACTTAAAAAATATATTCTTATTGCTCGCACGGTGTGCTGTAAATGCAGTAATTGTACCTATTTAACACGGCGACATTTTGGGCTATACGCTATGTTAGTGCGACGTCGGCTGTCGAAGTTTGGGACTCCGAACAAACTGTTGTTTCAATTTTTGTGTGGTTTTTCATGATTTTATTTATATTTATCAATGGTGTGCTACGCAATTACTGATTTAAAAATGTTCGAATTGGAAATTCAACAACAAATTTTAATAGGTCCAATGAGTTTTCAGCAAATTATCAGGACAGATTATTTCATAATGACATCGTTATAATAAACCACTAATACAATAAATAATAATAATAGATTCTAATAATTAAAAAAAAAAACGCATAAAAACTGAAACACCCTTAAAAACATTGTAGCAAATCGGTTTTACTGGATCCCAAATGTTGGCAGCCACTAATGAAAATGGCCGAAGCTACCTCATCACTAATATAGCGTATCGTCGGAAGTAGATAGAACCTTTAACGTTTACAACCGAGGATATACAGTCCTCTCGGGGCGCTCGTGACGTCACAGATCCCCAGGCGGCGTTTCGGTTTTAATCGACCCGCACTCCTCGAATGTTTCAATTTTGATTTGAACGGCTCACCCTCTAAGTGACACTTCACATATTCTGTTCGAGCTTGTAAACGTCGTGGTAGGCGTTCCGGATAAGGGCGTATGGAAAACATGACTCCAACAAGTCCATGGTCAAAAACGGCGACTCCTGCACGATCTGGTCTAACAACAGGTACACCGACTCCCTGTTCTTGACCGCGTCCTTGTCCGCCTCCTGGCCCAACCTCAGCAAACTGGAGGAAGCGAGCGCCAGGAACTCCTTCATGCGATCCTCGATGTCCTCTTGGCCGCAGATGGTGAACAGGGCGCCGAAAATATAATTAACCGCGAGCGCCATGCAGTGGATGTTGTTGGTGTGACCCTCGAGGGAGGGCCTATAGAACGACTGGTCGGACCTCGCGAGTTTCGGTATCGACACGGCGACGAAAACCATCAGCAGACACACCAACAGGTGTTCGTTGTCGCCCTCGGCTTCCGGTTTCTGCAGTTTCAACGCGGATATCAGCGTGGGATCGACTTTGCACGGGAGACCGGCCGCCGAGGTCATCTCGCTAACGATTTTCATCGGATCGCCGCTCGGCAAATGATGGCGGAAATCTAAAATCGAGCTGAGCAAAAACGGTATCCTCTCCTCCAAGACGTCGGTCAGACACGACTGCGCCAACTGGCGGAAGCTGAGGATCACGCCGACGATCGTCATGCGCTGCAACACATTGTCGACGTTCGTCAACCGTTTGAATTGCTCCTTCATCACTTCCGGCTTGTCGAAGTTCGTCCTCAGTGTGAGCAACACGTCCTTGTTGATTTCCGCGAGCTTCTTGAGCTCCACCACCTGGCTGGCGATGTGCCACATCAGCGTCTCGCTGAGCTGTTTCATGCCGTACGGCCCGATCAGCTCTGCCAGCGCTCTGAGTTCATTCACGTCCGAGTATTCCTCAGGATTGAAAGGAATGTTGCCCTCTACCGTCAAGCTGACGAACGAGCGTTGGTTCGTCGAGAATATAATGTTGCCGGCGCTGACGCGTCTGAGCAACACCTCCGAATACCACTGGGTGTAGATCGATGCTATGGTTTTCTCGCCGTGGCTGTCCATCGCTTGGGTCTGCTGTAGCAGGCAGTTGTTGAAGACGCGCGTGATATCGATGTGCACGTAGTTCTCGACCGTCTGCAGGACGTTCATATAAGACCTGACGCACACCAGCAATTCCGAGGGCTTGGCGATTTCGTTGGTATCGGAATTGTACATGACCATGCCGACCAGCGCTTTGGCGAACCTGTTCTCCAGATGCTGATGGAGGTACTCCCTAGGCGCGAACGTATACTCCCAAACGTTGATGTTCGAGAAGTAGTTGATCGCGTAACACAACTCGGTCAGGGCCATGTGCAGTTTGTCCATGGTGGTCAAGTTTTCGCGCGTCTTCCTGTAACTCTCGATGCCCGGCTTCTCGAACTCGATCGCGTTCTTCTTGTTCTTCTCTTTCTTCTTCCGGTTGATCTGTTGGGAGATGAGGTGTGCGCAGTTCTTCGCCAACAGTTTGTCGCTCATTTTGCACTGCGCGTCGCATATGGCGGTGATGATGTTTTTCGCCTCTTTCGCCATCTCGTCGAGGAACATGTTGACCACTGATAGGCTGCGCTCCCTTATATGGTGCCGTTCTTCCGGGCACAGCTCGTGGGTGCAGTGCTGGAAATGACTGCATATCGACGGAAACGCGACGATGTATCGATTCTGAGCGGGGAATTCCAGACACATGTGGAACTGGTCTTCGAATATCCGATTGTAGAAGCAGAATATAGATAAGTCCGAAGTCTCGCGCAGCATCTCGTCCAGGTTATCGACCATTTTGGTGTGGAATTGAACCATGTCCAAGAGCTGGGCGAGAGACTTGTTGTCGGTCAGTCTCAGCTTCGACTGTTGCGTCGACGTGTAGGCCTGCAGCCTGAACCAATCCAGGCGAAACGCAAAAAAGTTGAAAGTTTCGTTTTCCTCAACCTGTTTCACCGACAGGCCCGAAATCGTATTGCAGAGGGAAGAGAGAATTATGCCCTCGTCTTCCGGGCAGCTCTGCAGCTTTTGCATGTGCTCCTTCAAGGTAATTGAGTCCCAGTGCGAGAGATACTGGACGTAGTATCGTTGCATCACCTGGCTGTACTTTCTTACCAACACCCGTAGGTCTTCCATGTGGAATAAGAGTTCGGGCAGATGTCGATCGACCAAGTCTTCGGTAGTTTTACCTGAAAATTCACACCCGCTCGTAGTTTGCGTAGTTGCGAAAATCTACAAACTAAGGTATAACCAAAACTCACCCAGAGAAAAACAATGCTATCCTTATAATTTTTTGTTATTCATCAAAGAAAACTAACTCGTTTCCCATATCTTCCCATATTTTCATATTATAACCCTAATATTTTTTGCAACTATAAAATTTGTACCATTCGTGTAAGGTTTTAAATCGCCATTAAATGACGCTAAATACATACAAAACTAGTCATAGTAAATAATAAGCAAGATGGCATTGTTTCCATTTTAACGTAATCTTGACATTATTGTTGTTAATGCTTGATATTGCTAGGGTATTTTACCAAAATACTACACAGAATATAGTATATTATGCAATAAGTGTGGAAAAGTTGCTGTATGGGATGGATGTGGTTTTTCTAATTTAACTATGCCATGGTAAACACCTAAGGTAAACACCTTAGGTGTTTACCATGGCAACCATACATATTAAATACAATTTAATAGATTTTCTAGCTTAGATTTTAGTCCTTATAGTTTACAATAATGAGAAAGTATCTGTGGAAATTTGCACTTAGTACATCACATCACATCCATAGATATCACATTATAAGAATATTAATTATAAATAAATAAATAATATGACACTAACCTTTGCCTTTGTGTTGGGGTAGATTGTCATTGTGCCTCAATAACCACAGAACTTCATCTCTAGCATAGCACAATCCCATAAAAATCATAAGACCCTTGGGTCCAAGTAGGCCCGGTTGGTCCATAAAAATAAGGCCCAATTCTTTGAGGGCAGTCCTCAAAAATTTCCGTCTTTCCCGGTGTTTGTAGCCCGCTTTTTGTACGGCCTGATTGTAGGAGTCTTTGATTTCTGAAATGCGCTTGCCGTAACCTTTAAGGCTATCCAAGAATGACCATATGTACTGGTGAATATGCAAAACTTCATCGCGGAATAGGGGCAATACCCATAAACTTTCTAAAGCGTTCAATAACAACCTGTTAAAATGGTCTTGTTTTGTGTCTAATAGAACGGTATGCATTAATAAAATTCCGAAAATAATCCACCTTTCCATTGTGTCCATTGATAAAAACTCACATGACATCCTTTCAGACAGTACGGGTTTTAATAAATTAGCGGGGTTCCCTACCAAACTGAGTTTTTGTTCTGCCCTCCATTTGTCGGCCAGAACATTTCTTGGCACATAAATCACTATTAATGAATAAAGAGCTTGACTCAAGAGCCTAGAATGAGGCACAAACTCTTCGCAAAGTTTCTTGAAAGGTATGTCATAATCCACAATCATACTACCAAGTCTTGGAAAACTCGTATCTTGGGAGCCATGAACTATTTCATAAGCGGCATTAAACAAGCCCAACACCGCCTTGCGGTCCTCTACTCGTGATAGTAGTACCATAAGAGACACATATGTCGTCACTAAATCCAAATAATTTTTGGTCAATTCAAAATTAACTGAAATATCAAGTTCCACCTGGTAGGCATCCATTGTAGTCAAAAGTTCACAAACGTGATCCTTAAAATCCAACAAATCGACGAACGTATAGTAATACAAAGACAACGACTTAATAATTTCATTCCGCAAGTTCTGAATGGGTGTCAAACTTTTAACGTCCAAGTTAGGGAAACGCCTAACTATACTTTTGATGGCAGACTCCAAATTCTTGTCTGACAAAAAACTGGGTTTGGATTTCGCGTCCCCGCAAGCCTTTTTTATGTTGTATATCCTTGTGAGCATTCCCACGCCCCTATCGTTTAGGATAATTAGTTTTTCGGCGAGTTTTCGCTCTGTCTGACTTAATTGCCTCGACATTTTTGAAACACCTAAAAAATACAGTTACGCTACGACACACTTCGTAATTTAAGTTCGTTCACGTTCTGGTGCGTTGTTTTTATTTACATATTATATAAAAATTATTTGAATGCACCCTAAACATCAACAAGACCACTGTCAGGTGTGAGTCAAATAGAAATTAAAGACCATAGATAATTCTTCCTCTTTAGGGCGTGTTTTAAAAGTTGGGCAAATTCAACGCGGCCATTCGTCCACATTGTTTTGATGTAGCCATTTACAGGTCAAGTCTGGAATATTTCTCTAGCTGCTCGATAGATGTCACTTACAATTATTGGCGTACAAGTACTAAACTACTGTCATGGCGGTTTAAAGTAATGCGTCACACTGAAAATACCGCAGTAGCTTGTAACGGATAACAGCACTTTATTTATATTGTAATAAAAAAAAATTTAAAACTATTTCGACATAATTTTTTTTTCACATTTTACCTTTCAAACTTTAAACTGAATTGAACCGTACGTCCCGGCATTTTCCGTTTTCATGACTGGACACAATCACTAGAGGCGTTGTAACTCGTGTAGGCTTTTTAACACTAATGTGAGCCTTCACTTCTTTTTTATACTCTTTGGTTGTGCGTATTTAAGACAAGATACATTGGTCTAAGGTCAAAGTTATATTTTATTCTTATTAGTTCGAATAAAATCAGCTTGATTTAAGAGTTCCTTAAATACAGCAGTTATAAAAAATACGGACTAGTAATCTTTATTTTTAAATTATGCTTTAGTTCGGGTGTGCCATCTATAGGCGACGGCCAGAACCGTATAATATTGTAACCGCTCGATAGATGTCCCTTACATTCAGAAAAAATACCTAGCTGGCACTTGAAAGCCAAACTGAATGGAAGTCAAGTTTTTAGTAGAAATTTTCTTAAAATTGGCGCGATTGCGTTGGAAATTTCGTTATTTGGCAATGATGAATTGAAATTTGGTTAGGTGTACGTATCTGAAAGATAAATCGTCCAAGTTTCAAAGTTTGTGAGGTGAGGTGTTTCTAAATAAGTTCTGGACGGTGCTGTTATTAATTTATACTTTATTTTTATTGGATAAAATACATTTTCCAACAGTTCGAATAGAATTTACACATTATACTCCCGTCTATAATCACCATCTTTACAAATCCGACTATTCCTAATAAAAATGCCTAAAAAATCGTTTGATAAACTAAAACATAGAAAAACGACGAACAAAAATAAAAATCGTTAAACGTATCGCTAAATATATTACAGGGTCTTTGGTGGCACTAGCCAGTAAGAAAAATACAAAAGTGTTAACAAAAAAATAATCACGCAACAACATTCAATTGCAACAAAAAAAGAAAACGACTAACTATAATGGAAAGATAAAAATATAAAAATAAAAATATGCTAACGCTAAATCTATATTTATTTAAATAACTAGAGAGATAGAGAGATGGATTACACAGAAATATTGAGAAAACCCTTTACATGAGAATTCGTCGACGACATATACAATATTTACACAATAATATACCTATTGACAGTTTGGTTTTATAGAGCATTTTTATTAAAATTTGTATGGGTTTAATATAAATCGTATATATATAATATAATATATTTTTATACGTTTTTCAATTTTTTGTATAATAAATGCTACTCTTTTTTCTTGGTTTAACATTAGCGGTCCTAAGTAAGTAAATATATTATATCGTTTTTATTCAAGTGGTTATGTTATTGTCGAAAACCTTACGCGGTCCAAGCGCTGGCGAGGGCTGAGCCCAACAAGAGATCTGCCCCAATAAGTACACCACCAATCGCCTGAGCTAAATCCTCACTAACCCTTGGCCTTTAAAATGTTAGACCACACACTGGAAAATCATACGTTAGGTACACAATTTGGAATGATTCAAATATACTCGTCCCTATATAATTTTGTTTCTTCATCGTCTTCAAAACTATAGACTCGCTCGAAAATGTAAAAAAATACGGAGAAACGTTAGTAATACTTGGCACCATATTTCGTTTCATTGTTGAGAGACTATCAGCACTACGTATTGTCATGTAACACCTTAAATGCTGCGGCTCGGGGGCCCCTTTTTATTGTACTGTTTTATAAAAATTAAAGGCAGGCTTAATAAACGTCTTAAGAGCTACGTCATGAATTTCGATGTACGCCGAAACCGAAACGGTATCTACATTAATAAATCACACTGTACAAGAGTATCTCTCTCTCTGGAAAATTTCCGCTACTATTTTTCGAGCCCGTTCAAGTTGGCAGCTCCACTTCACGCCGCTATCGCGAGAGTATATGAAAATGCCAACTTAAGCAGACTCGATGGAATCCTTTATCAACCTACCAATTAATTTTTTAATATTTTTGCTGGAGACTAAAAAAAATATCGAAAAAATCATCATTGCTCACGCCCCACGCCTGCTTTTGCACCACTACAGTGGTGGAAGACAGTGGATTTCTAGCTGGCACCACCACCTGTATACTAGTGAGTATTTGGACAGGTACCAGAACAATGTATGTACACTTTAAGCTAAATAAAATCGGTCGTAACGAAAAAAAAAAAAAAAAAAGATCGTCGTTGCTCTCGGTATTGCACAAAATAACATATCGGTTTTCTAGCGGTAAAATATGGCAGGAACTGAAAAATGTCTCACAGCTCCGCGAAAGACTTTTATTTCGAAATTTCGCTGTTATCCGAAAATTGCAACCAACCAGCCGACCATCAATGCGATAGTACGTACTTTACGAGTATATAGCGACAACATTGTAAAAAGTACTACACCTATAACCTAAAACGTATTTACATAACCTAAAGCCCTGTCGGCACTGTCCTATTCTCGGTACGGTTTACAGTACGAGGACCGGTGGTTCATGTGCTGGCTGTACGAGCCCGAATGCGAGAACCGTTTCAGGCATTTGGTGCACTGAAATGGTTTCTCGCCGCTGTGCAGCCGTTTGTGTTCTGTGAGGTGATGCTTGTGTTTGAAAGCTTTCGGACACTCGTTGCATTTGTGCGGTCGCTGACCTGGAAAAGGGAAGGACGTTGCAATGTACGGATCTAAACATGTGCTTCGTTTCCGCTAGGGTCCAAGTGCTGCGTTTCCCAACCAAAGAAACCTGAATACGTTCCTTGAAGAGTGAGGTAATTTATAAGTCTGCACGGGTGGGTATGTGACGATAGTCTTCATAGATCTTAGAAATCTGAGGCTTGATGCTCCAACATTATGAGACAAGATACATAGTCAAAGGTCCAAAGGTCAAATTTATACTTTATTCCTATTGGGCCTAGATGGGATCAACTGGATTAGAGATCTCTGAATTAGTCCCTTAGAGAGCTGATAGACACTATCGTAAAATCAGTGAACATCGATTCGGAGTTCACATCCTCAGTATGAGAATCTGAGTGAGTACCCTAAGTTGCAGACGTGGTTATGTGTTGATAGTTTGCGTACATCACAGGAATCTGAAGTGTGATGCCACATATTCTAAAGAGAGTATGTAAGGATCTATTCCTGATTACCAAAGATATCAGAGTTTAGTCTCTTACAGAACGATTTGGAATTTTCAGTATCATATCTGAGAATATGTATTAATATCCACAAGATTGTAGAGGCGGGCAATTGATGATAGTTTTCACGGATCTCGGGAATCTGACGCGCGATGATCCAACATCAATTATTAATCATTTCCCATAAATTTGACAGATAACTGATAAATTATTAATTATTATTATGAAGTGATTAGATATGACAGAATGTCATAGATTGCTCATATAACTGGAGGAAAGATATCATCAAAGATCGATTGCGGTACTTTGAAGAATGTGGTAATTCATAAGTTTGCAGAACGAGATCAGCTCCATTACCGAACCAAACAAATCAGAGTGGACGCAATCATCGTTTATTGATCAGTTTTTCGAAATGTACATGATACATGATACTGTGGTGGTCAATAAAATTTTTATGAATGAAATTTGTACCGCGATCAGTACTGTAACCAAAAAATCTGAGTTAGCAGAATAGAAGAGCACTTTTGAAAAGTAAAGCACACACTTAAGGGCATGTCTTAAACGACAACAAATATAGCTTGGGTGGTTTTCATATCTTCAACTTCAAACTCACCCGAATGCTCATACTTGTGTCTCGCCAGCGAGCTCTGCTTCGAGAACGACTTATCACACTGGTCGCAGGAAAACTGACCCTCCGTCTCCGAATCCTGGCTGAGCCCGGGACTGCCCATGCTTTTGAGCACCAACTGATGGGAGGACACCTTGGCGCGCTTATTGCTCGGGCCGTGCTCGTCCTCGTGGGCGGACTCGTGCATCGAGTGGGTCGAGCCGGGACTTAAGCTCGAAATCCGACTGGTGATCAGCTGCTGCAGGCTGGGCAAGTCGGGGGTGCCGAACTGCATCAGGTGATCTATAGGGACGAGACCCATGCCGAACTTGTGAGCGGGCTGCGCCAGAATCTGCGCCAGCCGACTGCTATTGAAGTCCAACGGCGAGGGCGATTGCCTGGGCTCGGACGAATTCGAACAATGGTATGGGTTGTTCTGGTAAGGCAAGTAAGGGGTGGGACTCCGCGACGACTTCTGACTGAGGTTGACCACCTCGTCGACGCAATCGGACCGATTGACTCTTGGCGAACAAGACGGCGACGAGTCGTTCGACTTGGACTGGACGTCCCGCTTGACCGATAAGTCCAAGGGCTGTTCCGACACGTACTGCGAAGGCACGACGTAGCGCGACGGCGTAGGCGGTACCGGACTGTACGACACCTGGATCGAGCGGCCCTCCCGTCTGTCCCGCGCCCTGGTGTTTTGGAACCAGACTTGAACGACGCGCACCGGGAACCCTATACCGGCGGCGATCTTCTCCAGGTCCTCTCGTTTCGGTCGCGGGTTACTCTTGTAATTGTCCTTCAGCACTTTGAGCTGCTCGTCCGAGATTAACGATCGCACGCGAACCTTGCGGCCGTCTTCGTTCACGTGGTCCGTAGTTGTATAAGTTTCGCCGTCGACGTCCCCGTAGCCGGACCGTTCGTAGTCTTGGTCTTCGGCGCCGCTGTTGGGCGTCGTCTCGTCCGATTTCGCGGTTAACGCGTCCTCTAGCTTGGCGGCGAGTCCTTCGCTTCGCACGTCCTCGCACTCGTGCTCGTCTAGGTCCGCCTTGCTGCAGACGTTGCAGTGCGGGTCCTGTTTAGGGGAGGACACCCTGCTCGAACATTCCGACGCCGGTTTGTTCACGTTCGAGTGTAGCAGCTCCTTCGTCACCGTCGCGTTCACCGTCTCCAGGATCCTTTTGACCGCCTCCAGGTCGCCGCTCGCCGGAGGCGGTTCGGTTTTGATCGGGTTCGTAGTATCGGCGTCTTCGTCCATGACGAGGTCGCCGCCGTCGGACGAGTTCGATTTCGACGACTCGTCGTGGTCGACGCGTATTTCCGGCTCGCTCTCCCGAGGTTCCCGCTCCTCCTTGACGAGGTTCTCCGCCATCGGACGGAGCGGACTTTGCTGCTGCTGGTGCTGCAGTTGTTCGAGAAGATGACCGAGCGCCGGTACAGAATAGGGACTGATGTGGGGCGGAGCGTTTAGCAGTCCGTGAGGATTGAGGTAAAACGGGGACAGCGACGACCCGCCCGCCGCTAACGAAGACTGGAAGAGGGCGGCGGCCGCCGCCTCCGAATACTTGGGCAAGATGGGTAGATACGTGTTGTGATTGGGACTCGCGTTGTTGTTGTTGACGATGATGGGATTAGGGGCGGAACGTTTCGCGCCCTTGGGGCTTTGACGGCCACCCTTGTCGATTAGCGGGTTGTTCAGCTGCGGCCTGGTCCGGCCGAGTTTCAGGTTCATCACTAGGCATTTTTTCGAGGTCATGTGACTAGAATAGGAGCCCGAGTGGGAGAAACGTTTGCCGCAGTTGCCGCACTCGAATGGTTTCTCGCCGCTGTGTATCCTGATGTGTTCCTGAAAGGGGAGGATTCGTCGTAGAGTCGGGATCGGTGACGGAATTAGTTTTTTTTTTGTTACCTTGAGGTGATGTTTGAATTTGAACGCTTTTTCGCATTCGGTGCATTTGAATTTTCGGAGCACCGCGCTCTCGTCGTGGCTGATCATGTGCCGTTGCAGCCGGTAGACGTTGGCGAACGTTTTGTTGCATATCTTGCACGACTGGAAAGAAAGAGGGGAGACGCTTTAATAAGATAGGCGATATGTCGAACGGCCAAATATAAAAAACGCTGATGATATTAACTTGGATAGCATAATGCCGTATAGAACTCGACAAAAAATTTAAAAGACAAAAACAGATACTCGGAGAAAAATGAATTTAAAGTGCGCAGAAACTCAAACGATTGTTTCGGGTGCTATTATTGGTCGTGACGTCAAACGCGTACCACGTTTATGCTCCGACCGTCCTTTCAATCAAAGTCGGAACCCATTAATTTATTTACCGAATTCGTGCGAGTTGTTTTCTTATTTTGTGGTTTATTGCGAAAATTAGAAGACACATTTAATAACAGTTGCGGATCACCACTGTCATTAAATCGTAATGATTTAATCAAGTATTTATACAGCGTACACCATTTTGATCTGGTAAACAGAATGAATATGGTGCATTTAAAATTTGAATTCAAGATTCGTTTTAGCTACCTCTTATAATGGTTCAATTGAAATTTTGCTTTGGTTTCTGATGTCCTTATATTACATTAATAAATTGTAACAAAATAGCATAGTAATTATAATTATAATACATTATAATTATTATTATAATACATTATAATTATTAGTAATATTATATCCTTATCTAAGATTCTGACTTTGAGGCCGGTTCGGAAAAAACCACACTCAGAAACTACGGGCGCTATTCAAAATCTGTATATATACTACGTGTGTTCAACAAGTAAGGTGTCTTTTAATTGAACTGAGGCGGCTTTTACTTGATGAAAATCCATTTAACAAAATAAATAAGAACTAAAAGTGTCTTGATCAAATGTCACATTTGAATATGGTGGCTGAGACATAATTGTGGTTTTATTTTTGGCCGAAAAGTTAGATGCAAGCAATAATGAGTGAGCAGGTGCAAAATGCATGGTAGTGTTTTCCCACAATTTCGTCCGTCTCGCAAACTGCGCCTAACTTCAACGTAATAATCTTTATTGACCGTACGAATTGTCGGCCATCTTGAAACAGCTTGCACCACTTATAAAGAATTTTTTTGGTCAAAGTGGATTCACCATATGACGTGCTAAACGTTTCAAGTGTTTTGCAGCACCGTATTCCATTTTTTACATAAAAATTCTTGAACACACCTCGTAGTTTTTCGAGTTCCAAGAAAGAAGTAATGTGCAAATGACATCACATCCTCTTTCGTCGCGACGCGAAATAGGCGTCGCGGTGCTAACGTCAAATAACATCGCCATTTTACATTCCAATTTTGCGATAAAGCGAAAAAGAGAGGGAGAGCAAAAACGCGTGCGGCTCAGAATGTTTTTGTTTGGTCCCGACGACCTGGTTCAGCGTCACGACGCCCTCCACAAGACAGAGAACAAAAACTTGCCGGGTTCTAATCTGAATCGCCGGGAGGGAGTGACGCGAGAAAGACAGGTGAGGCACAGTTTCCCGAGGACGATTGTAACAACGTCCCGTTTCTATTTTGTTGTTTTTTTTTTCCGAATTGGACATGTTTTATTTTGGTTTTTCAAGCGCGTTTTGTATCTATTCCCGGCGCGGCGATGTTTTCCGATGCATTAACGGCATCCAGGTGCGTAAACTCGGTCCAGGTGCGACTCATATATACGAAATTAGAATGACATAAAAGCTTTACGTTTCGACGAAACAAAGGTCTTTATGTATGTGGTGTGACGTTTTATTTTTGGGATCGATACAGTTCTTTATTTCGGGCGCCGTTACGCGGGGACACAGGGCAGAAATAATTAACGATATGGTGACAAAGACGAGGTTAGGTCACACATGACATTTAAAAGGAATAGGTTGACAGGTGATAAATAAAACAAAAGACCAAATTGCCTCAGGTCCATCATAGTAAAAAAAATTAAATGAAAAAAGAAGAAATTTATTTCTGCTATTGAGGCAATGAAAATAGAAGAAATGAACTTTTACCATTGAAATATTGAAAAATGATAAATGAAAAAGAAGTTTTTATTGAGAAATTGAATTGATTTATTAAATAAAATGAGAGGCAATGTACTTCTGCTATTGAACGATTGAATTAAAAAACAAGGAACAGAAAAAAATCTACTTCAGTTATTGAGAGAAGGAGAGTCGCTGAATGAGAGATTAAGAGATCGAATTGATTGATAAACTAAAAAGAAGAAATGAACTTCTACTATTGAAGGACTGGGAGTCAATTAATAAAAAAAATGCACTTGTGTTATTGATTAAATTGATTGATTAAATGAAAAAATAAGAAATGTGTTACTATTACTGTTGAAAGATTGAGAAGTGATCAATTAAAAAAAAAACAGAAATTCAACTCTACTATTCACAGATCATTGATTGATAAATGAGATTTGAAGTTGATGAATAAAAACATCACAAGTGTACTTCTGCTATTGAGAGATTCATTTGATTGGTTAGATAAAAAAAGAAGGAATGGTGGATTAAATGAAAAAAAATCTGGTTCAGCTATTGGTGAGCGTTGAGTCGATAAATGACAGATTAAGAGATTGAATTGATTGATCAATTAAAAAGCAGAAATATACTTCTGCTATTGAAAGACTGGAAGTTGATAAATAAAGAAAGATAGAAGATAACAGAAAAAAAAAGGATTACTACCATTGTAAGATTGAGATGTGATCAATAAAAAAAGCAGAGATGCACTTCTGCTATTTAATCACAAGCGAAAAAAGAAGAAATTTACTTGTAATTAAGAGATTGAGAATTGATAAGCGAAAAAGGAGAAATATAGTTCTACAGAGATTAAGAGTTGATAAGTGAAAAAAAAAAAGAATAAATGTACTTTTGCTACTGACAAATCTGAGAGTTGATAAACGAAAAAATGTACTTCGGTTATTAACAGAGTTGAACTATCTCCAATGTTTCTTATTAAATCGCAGGAAGCTCATATCCATACGATCTTTTAGTTCTTATACAGTGTTAACTGGGGTGCGATAAACCAGACCTTTAAGATGACCTTCAAATCTGGGGACTTAGGGTTCCATGGGTTGATTATAAAGATTGCTAAAATACACCGTAGAGTTTTCTTTGTACAATGAACCCACAAATCGCTCCTTTAATTATTGAAATTCAATTAGAAAACACCCTGTATATGGTATGGAAAATAAGAAAGTGTTACTTGTCCACGAAAATATCGAATCGAATCTTTTTGTCTTTTCCCTGTAAGTTTTTTTGGTACCTATTTAACCCCACTGATCACTACCTCAAGTAGAGTGGGGGGAGGAGAACGGATTTTCTTTAGTAAATTCCAGGGGCGTAGTTAAGCTTTCGTCATTTCTCAATAATTTCTTCTCCTGCGACTCGATCTCTAATAATCGGCCCGTCAAGTCGCTACGTCGCGGCGAACCGAGCAAAATTAAACAGATATCCGGTTGTTTTTTTTTTCCGCGTCGGCGGCCGCCGTTGTTTTGAAAACTAAAATGTTTTCCGTGTAAAAGTGCTGATTCATAATGTAATTCCAGACACGTTCTACAGAGACCAAAACAGCCGGGCTTTGGGCGTTTGGGATTGTGTCCCACTTTTTCCGAGGCCGCCGTCGGATTTGTTTGCTCTCTCCGGTCCGGCGGCAGCGTTTTCTATCGACTGGAAAAATATGACGTTTCGGTTATATGGAGCGTAGTCAAACGCTCGGAAAGTAAAAGTTCGTCACGTGCGGATTCAACTCTATTAATTCGCGATTATGAAATTTGGTATCAAATATAGTCTTAAAAAAAAATGCAAAAGAAACTTTTTAAACCATTAAAGATATAAGAAGAAGGCTAATGAGAACGGGAGAAATGATCCTCCGAAAAGGGGGTTGTACAATGGGCCAACAACCCATTCATGTAAAAAAAACAGTGCTACGAATTAAAAGACAAGTGAGGTGGACAGGATTGGACACAATACAAATTTGTTGTAGTAAACGACCAACTGCGATCGGCTATCTTGCACTTCAAAGCTATAAACGATAGAATGTGTATACTGAGGTTGAAGGGTCGATGGTTCGAAATATCATACTCACAGGAGTATTAGACGAGATGCAAAGATAATGTTGGGAGACTGGAATGCTAAAGTAGGTAAAGAAGATTATGTAAATAAAGACAGTGGCTGGCAGCTACAGCCTGCACGAGGTAACAAACGATAACAGATCCAGGTCAGATGACTTGGCTGCATTCTGCAACCAAATAGACCACGTACTTATTGAGGGTAGACACTCCAGCAATTGATGCAAGAAGTATGAGAGGACAAGCTTAAAGTCAGACTGAGGACAAGACTATCGACATAGGTAACACAAAAACAAGAACGGAAGATGGAGTCGGAGAAGAACACAATATCAAATAGCTGTTAGTAATAGTTTCCAAGCACTGAAGCAAGCTGAAGATGCCGAAGAAGTGGAAAGGACTTGATATATAAAATTACATAATGTTTCCTAACACAGAAAAGATAGTTTATTAGTTACGAAATACATCACTCAGCTTGTAGAATTGACAAAGAACTGCTATTGCGGCTGTCAAATTATAGATTAAAAAATATATACACTACTCTCAAAATGTGAACTGAAAAAACAGGTTGCTGAAATTCTCAAAAACTTTTAATTATTTTGTCAAAAATTAAATAACTGTTGGATGAAAAAATCATTCTTGTACTTTATGATGGCTCACATAGGAGAGTAGTCCTATGGGATTGCCGTATAAGTGGGAAGACATCCTAAAATATCCTAAAAGCTATTCAGAAATGTTAAAATTCAGGCTTTATCTCACTCACAAACCCTTTCTTTCTAATAACATGCTAATATATGTATATATCTACAAGTGGTCTGGCAAACTGTTGTCGTTTCTGAATACTGTTCCATTTCCAATATGGTCCGGTCTGGATGTTCTATTACTTCTTCTCCAGTAGTCCAAATCCAGCAGTTTATTCTTGTGTTTTTTGCTTTACAATTAATTACTTAATTTTTGCCCAACAATAAGCTGGGAAATCACCGATTACCCTTG